GTGATTTATGAATAAAACTAAAGTGAAACCCTCGCATATTTTTGATTATAATGCAAATCAGACTCGTAAAGCAGTTCACATTAATGTGAATTTTATCTCAGTCGGAAGCAAGCAGGCGTTACGTAGGAAAATTTTCAAAAATTATTTGAAATTATTTGTTAAGAAAATGAACAAAGATAATAAGATTATTAATGAAAATATGAATAAAAAGAAATATAAGAGGAAGAAAACAAACGAACGAAAGAAACAAGAAGAGGAACAAGAGAAATAAAATTAAGAATAAGACGGTGAAGACGCTGAAGAAAAAGGAATAGAGCAAAGAATGCAAAGAGATAGAAGAAGAATTATAACGACAACAGCAAGAACAAGAGAAAGAAGAATACGAATAATAATAGGGAACGAAATAAGAAGACTAAGAGTAAAGACTAATACTAAGAATAAGATTAATACTAAGACTAAGGCTAGTATTAAAACTAATACTAAGACAAAGACTAAGAATAACAATAATAAAAGGACCAAATATTTTTGTGAGAGCATGGAAGAGATTCCTGATACTGTAATCTTTGTATATTTTTACAAAACGCTCTTATCCATTTGCTTGACCAGCAGCAGCGGTTATCAAACGTCGAAGCCCAAGCAGTATTAGTGGTGAAACATCTCTAAAGTTTCATTTCTTGAAGATGGTAAGATGTTGTGCGGACGCCCCTTGGACCAAGACCTTTAGCTTCAATCTTCAAAATAAAAATGAACCAACTCTGTCAACCTTATCGAGCTATAATGTGACCTGGAATACTGAACTCAGAAATACAACAGCGAGCACAATTCTAGAAAGGCATAATTTCCCTGATCATGTCTAAAAATTTGCGAACACTTTTCAAGCGAGACATATAATTTTGAAGATTGGCAATGCGAATATGATAAATTATGCATAACATCAAATATTTTCAAAAAGTTATAAATCTTCAACCGTCAATCCATTCTCACATCCTCAATCTCGCGGTGATAACTCGCAATCATTATTGTTTGGCAAAGAAGCAGCTTTAGTTCGCCACAAAAAATGAATTGTTCACGTTGTGCTTTCTTTTCATTTAGTGTCTTACACGATTGCCATTCCTATATTGACGAAGCTTTGTCCGGTCTTTGACAGAAGACTTGTGGTGTTCTTACGATATTTAACCGCCACGAACGTTTACCGTTACCCAGAAACTGGATCAACAACGGCTCACAATTCCTATAAACAGGATCACACTCGTGTTTAATTCGCATTTCGAAGCGAAGTATTAACGAGAACCCGATACTTAATTTTTCCCATTTTCATTCGCAGCGATTCGCTGAAACGATTGTGAAAACAGTCACTACCCATTCAAAAAAAATGGCTTAAAAATTGGTAACCATTTATGAAAGCCTATGTCAAAAAAAAAGGTCTTCAAATTTCGCCCGTTCTAGTCGGAAGCTTTTCAGAAGTCTAGATAAATTTACGAAAATTATAACAACTTGCGAGCTTTTTCGGTGAACTTCCTTCCCGATGTTGCATACAGCCGGGCAAATCTAATACGCATTTATGTGGTGTAGGTTATAGAAAAAAGACACAGAAGTAGTTACTCCACATTCTGGACATAACTCAGAAATTTAGATAGAAAGCGAAATATTTGCAATATATTGAGACAGACACATACTCAAAGATAGCTCGATAATCTATTATAAAGCAAATGTGATAGTTTTCGAAGGACAAAGAAAGAAAAGAGTGCACTTTATTGAAAGATAAGCAGGCGTGCACTTCTGGGCCTAACGAGCGAATGAATGTCATTTTAGTATACGCTTGTATCAGGTTCATGCTGACAAATTCAAAAATTAAACTTTTCTGAATACGCTTTGCTATTAGCTTCGTTGTGATTTCTTTTTCAAATTTTGGGGGTAGGATCTAGGCCTTCAAAAGGCAATTGTGTTATGTCAATTTTGCTTAAAATTTTATTTATTTTCATTTTTTCGATTTGGGTTTTAAAAATACACACAATTGTGCAAAAATGTTACTAAAAAATATTATTAACCTTGATCATTACATACTTTCAGACTCCCATGCCGTAAGCAGAGACACTCCTAACAACTTTTATAGTTATAAGTAATTAATGTATGTTTGGCCTCTCCAAGTGTTAAGCCACATATTATGGGCACATGTGTCGTATGTTATATACGTTTGCTGAAATGTTGTAAAGAAGAAAAAGAAGAAGAAGAAAAAAAAAAAACTCAATTTTCTGGTTTAAAAACCACACGTGCTAAGCAATGTGAAATCTTTAATTATCAACATCATAATAATATAAAATATTTTTTTTCTAACGCAGCATTTAGGTAACTGATGTGCCTGCCTGTTTAAACGGACTTTTCGCTCCTGCCATAGAAATTTACATAGTCGTTATGGTAAAGAGTACCATTAAATCGCATATGGATCCATTCACATAGGATTTCTCTCAAACCTTAGGTTTTTTCAATAAGACTGTTAACTTGATCTTACCATCAATGACGTCAATGTTTCAACTTTTTTTGATTTTAATTTATAGACATTTTCTTAATTGGATAACAATGATGGCCGAACTTCTAAGAAGTCTTTAAGACACTAGTAGACCATTTCGGTTATTAGCAAACACGAAGCCTTTCTAAAAATACAGATTCAAATATTTTCAAGATTTTCCTTCAAGGTTTTAAACCACTCATAGCTCACGTTCGTGATATTCTATTCGAGAGATAGAAATCTAAAGATAAATTCTTTGCTTCATATCTTCACCCACAGAATAGGTAGGAAGACAAATTCGTATACAACACTTCCACACAGATGCCTCTGAACGTTTAACCATTTTCTTTCAATTTATTGCTTACATCTGCAGAGAAGCTATTCCCGACACTTTTATGACGGAAGAATTATGCAAATATTTCTCACTTATGGAAATATTTCGCTGATGAGTGATCGTCGTAATAAAACTAAAGTTCAATTGAAATTTTTTTTTAATTACGTTTCTTTATATGTGTGCTGTTGTTATTGCACCACACATGCAGCTAAAAATGATCATCACTTTATGTAAATTAAATTAAAACGAAAGTAAACAATTTACTTTCTCTTGAAATTTTTATACCCTACAATACTTGGGATACAAGGGTATATTAAATTTGGGCACATATATGCAACATTCAGAAGAACTTAGAACATAGTCTCACATTTTACTAAATTTTTCGGTCCGTCTGCTTGTCTATCGGTCCGTTTTATTTTCTCTTCTTCAACATAGAGATCGCATATTTAAGATATTTTGATAACATTACGTACATCACTTACGACATATTTTAACCGAAGGAGGAGTGCTATTGAAAACCCCATGTATTTGTGGGTGGTTGCCTAGGCAAATGTGATAGCGTTACGATTTCCTAGAACGCCTAGGCATGAGAAGTATATAAGTCCTGACTAACGGCTATGGCCCCAAAGGAAGTATCGCGATAGCTTTGGTAATCCAAATCGCGATAATCGAGTCCACATAGACTTCGAATATTTACCAGAGAGATTTTATTGGCCATACACTTTCAGTTAATGTGTAGTGGGGCCACTAACTTATACTAATTGTCCCACTTAGTGGAAAGCGCCGCTTAAAAAACCCGTTACTTCAGCGGATTCACATGAAGTCACTCTCGCTTCGCTTATAACAATAGTTTTTGTTTTTCTTTTCCAAATCCAGGTGTTCTCGCGCTTTAAATCGTACTCTAGGAGCGACCTTTGACCGATTTGAGCTACACGCGTACAAGAACAAGAACGTATATATTTATGAAATTTGAAGCCCTTATCCTGCCAGCAAGTTTACCGCAGGCTTCGTCACGTTGTATGTATAAACGCGATCTTCAATTTTTACACAATGCTGTCTGCAACTTGTCTCTTTATTTTGGTTAAAAATTTGATTACAATGGAAAAGAACTATAGCGACGCAACAAGTAAATATCTACTCAACGCTTCTCTAGTTTAAATTTTCATGTAAACAATAAAAAACGTGTATTATGAGCCCTACTAAACGAAAAGAAATAGTCGCAAGAAAACCGGATCATTTTTGGTTTACAGATTTTTTATCTTGTTGAAATGGGAAGAATAGAGAATGAATATAAGATTTTTCTCTCTCTGGTTAAAAGTGCCCAGTTGCGGATTTGAGATTTCCCGATTTGAAATTCATCACTTACATCCTTTAATAACAAACGATTTCAGGCACTTTCGCCATCGAAAAAGAATCGATAAATGTTTTCTTATTTATGATATCGCGGAGACGTTGTGGTAAAGAGATGAATAAGAGATTTGCCGGGGCTACGTACTTTAACACCATTCAGCACGCCCATAATTAAGGAAGCAAACATCTTGAAGAAGTCAACTATCAAAAACAACAAATTTAGAAATTATAGCGGGACTACCAACAGGTTTTTCCGAACGCACGGCTTAAAATCATTTTCAACATCCTCCTTGATTGTTTTCAGTTACCCGAGGATCATGATTTTCAATTTCTCTCTCGGGCGACATGAACCTAAGACAAATTCTTTGCTCGAAACTTGTACCCAGACATTAGTCTGGTAGTGAGTTCAACTGAATGCCTCGGAAAAATTCAGCTATTTCCTGTAATTTTCTTAACATACTTGAGGAAGCTATTGGCGACACTTTTCAGACAGAAAAATTATGCAAATGTTTCTCACTAATGAAAATATCTTGCTAATGAGTGATGATTACAGAAAAAAAGAAAAAAAAAACCTTTAGTTCAATGGAATTTTTTCTTTTTTTTTTAATTGCGTCGCTGTATACTGCTGGACTGCAGCTAAAAAGTGAATTGAAATGAAAGCAAAAAATTTAGTTTTTCTTAAAATTTTTACAGTTTAAACAAAAAATTTTTAATTGTTTCCAACGAAATGATATGTACGACGAAACGAGTGTGAAGCTTGTTTTCAATTTGCTTTATTACAAAATTTAATAAAAATAATTAAAAACCTACATCTGATAATAATAAGAAATGTAAATCCATAACATTTGTACCCGTATGGCCGGTAGTAATTTGATATTCCCCATTATTTAAATTCTTATAGAAATTGTACGAATCATTTTCTTCTAAATAAGTTTGTAATTTTTCTAAATCGTTATCGTTTTGATCTAAAAAATCCTGTATAACATTATGACAGCCTAGGGCACCGGCAGCATCGGTGGGACCATCTATACCGTCAGTTCCGGCACTAAGGAAAAATATATTTCTTAGCTGAGGATCTTCAAAAAATCTTTTAGATAAACGTAACGATAATTCCTGATTACGGCCACCTAAACCGCTTCCTTTAACCTAGAAATATAGTAAAGATTTATATAAAATTTACTTTACATATTCTCTCTCATTCACCTTTACGGTCGGCTCCCCCCCAGCTATTAAAAGTAAAGGTTTTCTACGTGTGAAGCACATTTTTAAAGTGATCATAAGCTTTTGAAAATGCCCTTCACCGAAAGGGAATGTTTTCTGGAATTCCGCTTGTGTTATAATGTTTGCATTGACTTGGTATAAGCCTTTTAAAATATCGCAATATTGCTTCACTAAATTGTCTAAATTTCCTTGCACTGTGGTGCTGATAATACATGGCGTGTAATTAAATATTATCGCTTGAAGCTGCGCTGCTACAGTTGCAACACGATTATCTCCTATTATGTGGACGTGGTTGTTTTTAATTTCTTGAGATATAAATACGGGGGTCTCTTTCAACATTTTCTGAATATCTTTATCTAAGCTGTCCCATAACGAATATCTTCTTAAAATTTCTTTGGGTTTGGGATGCTTGGATATAGTTTTAGAAAAAGTCGGACCGCTGGCTATTAACTCTATCGAATCGCCGACTATGTCACTAATAATCAAGGATACAACGGCATGGGCTCGCGAAGCAGCCAACGCCAACCGGCCACCTTTAATATCCGACAATGCAATACGTACAATGTTCAGTTCTTTTATGCTAGCCCCTCGATTTGATAGCTCTAGTACAAGTGACATTTTCTTCTTTAAATCCACAGGACGACGAGGCATTGGCAATAAAGCTGAACCACCGCCTGATATCAAAACAAACAAGATATCATCTTGACCTAAGGATTTAGCTAAATGTTTGATTTCCAAAGCGGCTTGTAAAGCCGTCTCATCCGGTTGGTTATGCTCGGCTCCTTCATATACACGAAAAACTGTGTCTGACGACAATTGCATATCCGCTTGGCTTTGAGATTGTTCACTCGCTCCTTTCGGTATGCTTAAAATACCAGAAACCAAATGTTGATGTAATGCCTTTTCTAAAACAGCAGCCATACCCAAAACAGCCTTACCAAAACCTACCACATGACAACGCTTATTTTTAATATTCCACAATTTTCCATCAACTTTTATGCACAACTCCTCTCCAATTTGCGTTGGTTGAAAATTAAAGTTATTTTTAACGGATAATAGACTGGACGGTCGCACCGCTTTCACAGCTTCCAAGAAAATTTGTTTTAAATTTTGCAAATGTATTTTTGAACCACTCATTTTTATCTCTTCTCTTTCCCCTTTGATAATTCCTACATTATTTGATAATTCTTACATGATATGATAATTAAATTGATACGAGAGAGACTTATCAAAGCAGCTGCTTTTACAGCTGATTGAAAACTAAATGTGATATGAAACGTAAAAAGAAACGATGCTATTCACAATTACACATCGTTAATTGTGAATGTCACTTTTTTTATTTTAGAGATATTCCATTAAGGTTGACATCCAAGCTTAATAAATTTTGTTATATCACTAATTACTAAACTATTATTGCTCAGTGCTGCCATTCTTGACTTTTTTTTTCTATTTTCCCCGTCGACATGAATCATGGCTGTTATGAAAAATAAAAGCAACTCCCTTACACAACAATTAAAGAAAATGAAACCAAAAATTTTCATTAACTTACAATTTGCTTAAGATATTGCGGAAGTTTTGTATTTATGCTCCATCCACAGTATTTAATTCCGTTTGAATCAATTGTCCTTGGGCATAAGGTGGTTGACTATTAGTGTTCAAAAAGTAAGAGCCGCGAGCGCTACATTTTTTCAAATTCGTTTAAGAAGAAGAAATAAAACGTTTTGTTCAAATATTACCTATGAGCCAAATGATACCCCATTTTTTCCATGGCTATGTCATCATATAAATAACATTGATGTGTTAAGTAATAAGACCAATTGCCACAATTGTAAGACCAAAAACCTTCTATCGAATATATTGATTCAGCGTAATAGGCGGGAGCGCGATAGTGGTTACAAACTCCTAGAAATGTAAATATATGCAAAGCAAGTCAATTCCATGCGAAATTTTCCAACATTTACTTAAAAATGGCCAGATGGGACAGCCAGGTTGATGAAAATCCTCCAAATTGGGATAGAAGTCTGCATGACCCAATGGATTTAGGTGTGAGTAAAACATTGGATCGCTATGTATGACATCGATAAAATCAGCATCAGTGGAATCTAATTTCTCGGATAAATTTGTCGTCATAAAACCAGGTCGTGCAGGATCTAAGGCTACGTTCAGAAATTTGAAAATTTTGATCAATAAATAAAAAACAAACGCACGTATACACCTACCAGTTATTCTATATAATTTCTCTTTTACATAATTGGCCGTTAAACCAGCCACTTGAGCACCGAAACTGAAACCTATTAAATGTATATCATTACGTGCGAAATAGTCCCGAGCTATTAAATCATCAATAAAGTAAGCCAAACATTTGGCTATAGTAGGAGCGCTATACACCGTCCACGGATAATAACAAGGTCGTTTCGTATAAACGGAATAATCTAAACTTATAACGTAAACTTGTTCGTAGTACAATAAAGGCGGACGTATCTCACGGTTTGGACTTAAATCCCTATTTTGATTGTAACCATGCAAAATAATCTTCAAAGGTAAACGTGGCCGAAATAGACTCACGGACTCATTAAGACTCAAAGGATTTAATAAAATAGGCGATAAAGAAGAATCACTGGAAAAAGGAGAGAAATAAATAAATGGAAGGCCTGTCGAAAATTTCAATTAACTGCACTTACTTTCTATAAAACCAAAATTCGATGTTCTTTTGAGGACACTCGTCTGGTGCAAACTCACACCAAAGGATTCCGCTATTATTGTCAGATCCATATGTCAGCACTTTGAAAAATTCAAAGAATGTGTTTTGCTTATTTATTTTTAAAAATTGTTGTTTTATTTTTAAGCCGTTACTATGCTTACCTGACATCAATAGCAGCCAACAGTGACTAAAACTTTTCATGTTTTTCTTTCGCATTTTTTAATTATTATTTTAAATACCTGTGCTTATCACTAATGACCTAATTCAACATAATAATAGTAATTAATTTTAATATTCATAACTCTGGCCGAAGTCCTTGTAATTTTGTATTGGTATTCCATTTAAATACTTCTGTGTCTTATCTTTCTGCATAAGTTCTGTAAGAAATGCTTTAAGTTGTTCATCATCGTAAATTTCAAAATCGATTAAAGAAAGTGTCATTGCTTCTCTGTGCTCCACAATTGTTTCCGCGCTTGGATTCAACGCATACGGTGCATGGGCGGAAGTTTGCAAGAAAAATGAACCATGTAAGCTTAAATATTAAAACGGAAGAAAATGGAAAAAAGGATAAATCGAAAGTTGAGCTAGGCCGACTATTAAATACCCTACACCACGTTGTTTAAAAAAATTCTTATTTTCGTCATAAAATAGAAAAATTATACGCTGTGTTTATCGGAACATACTATCGTGGGACTATATATTAAAAATTAGATCTCTTTGCAAATAAAGGCTTACTCTCATTAAGTTGAGGTACGTATTCAAAATTCAGCTCAATTAATTTTTATATCGAAATCTTATTACGGATCGACTTTCATCATACCATATTCAAACTTAGACTTTTTTGCCTTAACAGACAAAAAAAGTGTTCGTAAAAATCCTTATTTAGAGTAGGACCCAAACGTAGTCGTGGTTGGTCCAAATTTGGTGTGGTCTTAAATTATTATTATGATTTTATCTTGATCATCGAGCATTGGAAATTAGACCTTTTTGTCATACGAACTTCAGTTTTTGTTACATGAAAGGGGGTCCAAAGTTTTCATATCTATTTAGAATGCCGTGATATTATCATTTAGACACTTAAGTCGCGCTAACTCATGATACGGGTGTTCATATAATGACTATTAAAAGTAGGGTGTTGTATGAGGCGTGGTTGAAAATGTGGTCCGTTTTCCATCGTTTTCAATAGCGCTCTTCTTTGGACCAAATCTGCGGGCACTGCCTACAAATTTTTTTTTCTTTTTCTTTGCTCCCTTCCCTCTAACGGTCCCAGTGTTAGGCAAAAAAAAAAAACACCAAAAAATAAATATAATAGCGGGAGTTACTTAGCGGAACAGAAGCTGCTGACGGGCGATTTAGACAAATCGAAATGTCAATCGTATAGTAATGTGCGTTTGTAAAAACTTAAAAAAGATATCTCAGTTAGAGACCTACCTATAAGGAAGAAGGTTATTAGGTGAATGTTACCTTTTTCCCCACCTACTGATGATGTAATGTGGGTACAATGAAAGGTAATTTAACCCCTTGGAAACATGGCAAAAATTGAAAAAAAACTGCCGAGAGTATTGAGTTCGACATTCGTCGTTGAAAATTTAGGAGTCTAAGCTTAATTAAGGAAAAACATTTAATGTTTTTTTATATATATATTCTACATCTAGGAAACTTGGGCTGATTTGAGCTTTCGAATTACCTTTTATTCACTCTATGACCCATGCGCTGTACTTTCGTTCGATCATTGCATAAATCAAACATTTGATATAACCAGCTTCGGCAAGAATAAGACCAGAAACCGTTGGGATTACGCACGGATTCGGCATAATATTGAGGAGCACGATCATGATTGCAGCTGCCAGGATCTGAAAAAGCGCACACAACAAGATATATAAATAACTCGGCGTAAGGGGATATTTTGCTACGTCACCTTTCGGATTTTCATTATCACAACCGGGTTGAATGGGTCCCAGATTTGGGTAGAAATCCACATGACCTAAACTCGCCAACATACCTCTACCCACTACATCGGTATGAATTACGTCAACAAATTCAGCATCGCTAGAATCAAGCTTATATTCAGAACTTGCAAAAGCAAACAAAGGCTTAGCGGGATCTAACCCTGTAAACATAATGCGTAAGTAGTAGCGTCTTAAACTAACTGCTTGTGTTTAAAATTTACTGACTTACCTGTTATTCTCTTTAGTTTCCTTTTCAAATAGTTGGCAGTTTGCCCCGCCACTTGTGCGCCTAAACTAAAACCGATTATATGAATTTTATCATTTTCCACCAGCTCTTCTTCAACTAAGTTATTTATTAGTTGACCTAAACATTTAGCAACTAAAGGTAAATTTTCCACTGCGGTCATATAGCACGGGTACGGTACCAAACGACCATAATCTACGGATATAATGTAAGCGTCTTCGGTATCCAAAAGTGCAGGACGTATATAAACATTGGGCGAATAATCACGATCGCCAGTGTAACCGTGAAGCAAAATATAAAGATTATGTTCTTTGAAAGCGAAATCAGAAGCATGTAGACCCGAAGCATTCAATTTCAAAGGATTCTCTCTTAGGTCTCTAAAAGTGAATCCATTTACGGAATACGCAATATAAGTAAATATATCGTCGTATAAAAGGATCTCACCTGGTGAATAACCAAAAATCAACATCTCTATGAGGACATGCGTCTTCGTACTCTATTTTGCACTTGGGATCAAACAGACCTAATAAAGGGTTAGCTTGGCTTGAAATTATATACCAAAAGAGGCCAAACAAAATTTTCCACATTTTTCGCATCCCTCTACTTATAGGACGTTTCTGTTTTTTTTGTTTTTTTGGTTTTCTATAAATTAAAAACTTATTTTTATAGTTTTTACTATTGTTACGAATAAATGCACTACGAAGGTTTTTAATGCTAGTTATATGACCTCTCAACTCCCATTAGTATACCTATATTTTTATTTTTTATTACTTCCTCTCTCTTTTTCTAATTTTTTTTTTTCACAATTTTTACCGGTATCACTTGAATGAACTGCACGTCGCGGTGACTTCGTTTGCATTAGTTATGCCTTTACGTTCTGCTCGAAGTTTTTATAGGGTTTTTTTTTTCTTTTTTTGTCTCTGCTATTTCCATGACCTTGAATGAACGTCTAAATTTTTTTTCTACATAATCCTTAAATAAATTTACGCTACACGTATCTTTTCACTCGTTTTGAAAAATTTGGTTTTATTTTATTGTTTTTTAATTAAAAATTCGTTCATTGCTGGATTACGTGTTAAGCATATGTAAGCACCCTTACGAACTTCTCGCTTTTATTGATACGATTATTTAAACAATTATGCATTTCTCGTAATAACGCCACAATATTTTCCCCTCGGCAAGAAAGGAGCCCTAGTTTCTCGGCGGACTTGAAAACGCTACAAAAGTAGGAAAAATCAATGGATTCGTCGTTGTTTTCCTTCGAATGCCCAACTAACTTATCATCGCCCGACCGTGATAACATAGTAAAGCGCAAATTAAATTAGGATCTACCACCATGCCAGGAATCGAACCTAAGTCCTCCGGCTGCGGGCTGAGCGTCCTAACCAGACCGTACGCCAACCACCACGAAGAGTGGTGAACGTTGCAAGAAGATTTGTTAAAAAAAACCACGCCTGCGATATTGTGTTCACCTTACATAATTTGAAAAGAATTTACAATGCGATCATGCTTTGAAGCCTTATATACATAAAAATGTTGAAATTCTTAAACAATCAAGCATTTGTCGGCAAAAATTTTTAATAAAAAAGAACTCATAATAAAATTTAATAAAGCGATAGGGCTTTGAACACGTGCATCGACAAATACGTTGCAACCATTTATCGTCCAAAATGCTTAAGAACTCATAATAAACCTTCATTTCTTTAGATGATCTTCCATTCTATATGCATTCTATATTTATTTATTTTTTCATTTATTATCAATAGAGTTTGTAAATGAATTTACAAAGCATTGAATTAAAGGCTGCCGGATAACATAGATCACACGCTCGCCTGCATTGAAAATTTTACCGGCCTTGAGATTTGTACCCGCGGCCATTGAGTTATTATCCGCGGTCCTTTGTCTACTCGACTCTCTTCCATATCCTTTCCTCATGAATAGCATTAAAGCTTAAGAGTAGAGTACAACCTCTTTCTTTGGTAGCAAACTTGGCTTCAATTTAAGCGAAAAGTCTTCTAGGCTTCAGCTAAGCTATTGTCAAAGAAATTCAACCATCTTTATGTAACAAGAAAAACAGGAGAAAGAAAAAATATCTGGTCACACCTGTTCTTGAAAATGCTTCAATAGTTGGGTCCCCTAACTCTCAATGGTATATATTGACTCAGTTAAGCTTGCACGGAAGCAGCTGAATCTTAGTTGGGCATTCTTTGCCACCCTATGAATACAGGCTTAGATTAAAGGATTTACTCTCGGTAGAGAAGTACAAGTTTTTGTTCTAAGCTCTCCCGGCTTCATTAAACGCAATTAACACTGCTTCGTCAATTTCATGATCAGGTGTATTGTTCCCGACATCAAGTAAACTTGATAGCTGGCGATGCTGGACTCACTGGACGAATAGAAAGTTAATAGCTATCGATAATACGTACAATTTTTTTTTAATATCAAGTAGAAAATCTTCCGATCGTGGAATTGCTGTTGACTAACAAATGCAAATCGAGTTTACTTGTATAGCGGGAATAATAAACCGGCCCCAGTTATTTAAACTTAAACCATAGATATTTATTTATTTAATTCATTAAATTCCGCTACAGAAAAAGTCATTAGCACTATTGCACAGAATAGGAGAGAAAAAACTAACCAACTTATACAATCAAACCTGTTTTTGTGCGGTCTTTTTTGTGCGTTTATGCGGTCGATATTTGTCGCATAAAAACAGGTTTAAGTGTAATACGCACCAGAATTCAGTTAAGCACTAAGTTAAGTTACAGGGATGTTTGCTGATGAATGAGAAGGCACTTTTTTATGTTAATAGCAACAAATCAAATACAAAAAAAAACTACATTTTTTTATGATCCAATTTACCTGTACTTGTACGAAGCTCGCAAAATTTTTAGCACTTAGTTATGTAATATAATGCTTTTACGGACAAAACAGAGAAACCAAGTGATTGGTGATGATCGTTGAACATTTTACACAATACCCGAAACCGATTGAACAACTAATAGTTGGTTCGGCTTTGTGGTAGCTGTAAGAACACAAAATGTCTGAGCTGTGAATGTCAATATGTTTTAACAAAGCCGGCGAATAACGTTCTCCTTTCAGTATCTTGAAAAAAGATCGCACCCAACAGTTTATTCCATGCTTCAAGGGTAGACAAACCAACGGGGAAGGGCACGATCCCATCCTAGACCACCCAAACAAACGACAAGAAGTTTCGTTGGACAGACTCCAAGAGACCATTATGGCATCTATAACTGGGAAACTAAACTAACGACAAGTATTTAAGACTTGTTCAAACTAAAGATGTATACAAGCATTTGGTAACGTACGCGTTATTGAATGCTATAGACCAACTTTATTTTACCGAAACTTCTATATGAATATCAAACTTGGGCCTTGAGTTAACACTAATTCCTAAGTATTTGTGAACGATTTTCAGGACGTGGTGGTCAATACGATAACAAAATGGCAACGTATTACACCACGCAAAAAACATTTTCTTACATTATTTTGAATCATTGATTGTGCATCATGTACACAGGTTTACAAGATTAGACTGAAGAAGTCTAGTATCATATATTAGGTCGAAGGAGGGGGAAAGGTGGACGTCATCTGCAAACATTAAAATCCAGGAATGTTGAATACACTCACGTTTGGTGTTTAAAATGAAGCTTATTGTGCTTATTTGGCCGCTTTTATATTTCAATTTATTTCATTCTTTAACAAAAGGAAGGAAGGATCTCGCTGGCGATATTTTGTTAGACATGGAAAGACTACATTGCCTTCTTTAAATATTTTTTGAGTTGATGACAACGTTAAACTTGGGGTTAAGAAAAGTATTTATAAGATGAGAATTTAGTTGAACTTTTTTATCGTTTGTTCCATTGTAGCCTGTGGGTAATGACAAAACAGCTAAGCAGGCGAAAGTATTGGACTAGAGTTACTAATGTTTCTACTAAGTTTGAAGCCAAGAGGTTAAGGAGAATGTTTACCACAGGCGGACAAGCGGACATACTTAAACCGATTCAGAATTTGAACTTGATCAGAAATGTATACACTGTATGGAGCCTCTCAACCTTCCTTCCAGACATTGCAAATATGTCGGCAAAAACGTCTTCCTTCGGATCAGTTTACCTTACATTACGATAAAATGAGTATTCGGTTATTTTCTCCCTGGAGTAAATCCACTTTCAAAATACAAAGCAGAAAATGCTGGATGTTCGAGCAAAGTAGAGTCACTCTGGAATCATTAGAAAGAAAAGTGGGATCGCCAAGAGATTAGCTGGTGTTACAGTTGCTTCGCGATAATTAGTGACATGTGTCAAGGCACGATTGGTACAAATCAGACGACCTGATCAGGGCTCGATTCCTAACAGTTTTGCACAAGTGGAAATGGAAGTTAACCACCTCTGCTTGTTACCATAATCAATAATAAGATATTTAAAGAAGACACAGAGATAGGAGTAACTCAATATAGCGATCCCTACAGTGTCACTGTCATTTAGTTCATAATCCATACGTTCGTGACAAAAAAACACTTCATCCGAACCAATTGCAAGTCCAGGTATATAAAGACGTTTTTGAATATCAGATTTATTTTTATTAAATGTATCTTTTCAATTTTTGAAACTCTATATAACCAACATTGCCAACATTAAATAATTCAATCAGATCAGACTACAAAAAAAAATACTAACTTCGAATACAAAATCGAACCATCATCCTTACGTTCATCGGCACATATTTGATCAGATTTATTTTCGAAAGTTTTTTACAACGTAAGTGACAAGCGTGCGTTTCAATTTCGGTCTCAGTCGGCAAAAATGTATTCAACTTGACTTTGAAAAATCTCGTAAAAATTCAAAAGATCTCATAAAGATTGCGTACGTTTTCTTTTCGCTTTATTTCGACGTTTTTTAATAATAATTTTTAATGATCGGTTTTAATAAACACTTATGTTAAAGTTTAATTTTTTTCTGCATTATTATTTTTAACTTTAAATTTATATTACGAATGCAAGAACAAGAGGCATTGCTTCAATTCTTTTAGAAAGAAAAAAATCGAGGCCAAGTTCCTGTTGATTTTTCCTGCCAATGAGCAGCTGAACTGGAATGACCTCCGCTAAAAGAGAAGGAGTTGAAGGGTTACGGTCAGTAATTTTGCATCCATAGTAGATATGGTTTCCTAGTTAAAACTTGTTGAAGTATCTGTCAAAATCCGTCCATTCAACTGGTAAGTCTACAATTGACAGATGAAAAATTTACATGTGTTCTGTCTACATGTTTGTTTGAGTACTTGTGGTTATCCATTAACTGTCCGCACCATACCCCACTTTCTTGTTTAATTTTGAAAAACAATTTTTATATTAGTTTTAAGTATTTTGTAGGAAACAATTTAAAAAAATTTTTATACATTTAATTCTGTTTTACGCGAATATTTTTTTATTCGAATTTGATTTAATAGAAAAAAACTCTTAGGTTTATAAAGTGGTACGCAAGCGATAACTTGCACTAACTAGCGCAAGACAATCTTATACCACTTAGAGAGGGTATAACAAGGCGATTGTGTACGATCCCAACGCTCTCCTATGCAAAGCGAGGGTTCTAACTAATCAGTGTCACTGCGGTTTTGGTGTAAGCAAAGCCACCACGACGCTCCTCGAAGCATTGTTCCTGGTAATCATTTCTCCATCGATCTCAAGCCGTCTTTCCGTTTGCGCTGAAAAATGCCATTCCAGGCTATGTTTAGGCAAGCTCCTCACAGCTCAGGTTATAATGTTTTCGCGTTTTACCCATTACGTGACACGTAGTTATTCTTACATGTGAATTATCCATACGCCCTGGACTGCCTTCCAAATTTTTCTCTTCATTCTTCAATCTTCAATTTACAAGAAGATATGCCTACTGAGCAATACCAAACACATTACTACTCCTATGGCCTCCGCAATAGCAAACAGAAATAAGAATTTTGCCGATCTAAAGATGTCAGTAATTCGCTATGACTTTCCTATGTAAATGTTGTGGAGATTTTTCGAAGAAAATAGACCTACGTACGCATCAGTTATAATGTTCCTCCTGAAGGCATTCTTATCAGACACCATTCTATTACAGGTTTAGAAGAAACTAAATTTATATCAAAAAAGTTGAAGAAACTCAGTCAGCTTCTTACGGAAGTCAATATTTCAATATAATGATCAACAGTTCTATATTCATGGGTTACGATTTACAAAATTCCAAAAGTTTTTTTTCTTTTTTTTTTTAAATGGAGGAGCAGGTAGGGTAATACCTAATCGTACCCAATCCATCTTGTTAGATATATCATACTTGTCCGCTATTGTTATTAACAACATCTTATGTTAAGATAAACCGTTTTTTTTTTTTCGTAAATATTAAAAGCTAAGCTTTTTTTCTTTTAATTTATGGAAGACGAAAAACTTTTTAAAATTCACCAAAAATCATGAAAACAAAGCTTAACAAGAGTTTGAAAAGCAGACTGATACGTTAAGCGTAAAATTGAGTCGCTCTTGAGACGAAAGCAGTGAGTAAACGAACAGATTTAACCGAACTGACATACGTAACGGTCACAAAATATGAACAACAACGGACAACAAGCGATTTGTTATTTAAAAAAAAATTTATAACGGATATGATGAAAAGAGATAAAACAAAGCAAATCGATGAAAAAATTAATTAAAAAAAAAAAAAAAAATTTAAATAAACAATTTTTTCCAAAAATCATTAATCGGAGTATAAACTGCAGTTAAAGTTGATGCAATTTAATTAACTTGCTCTATAAATATAAATTCCATTATGATCTGCGCTAAGTGAAGTGTGTTTTAATGGTTGAAAAGAAAAAAAGAAAAAAAAAAACACCCAAAAATACGTATTTTTTATTTTTTTTTTTTTAATTACAAAATAACTTGTTTAAGGTCATTTATGTGAAAAAGTCCAAATGTAAAACAATATTAAAGAAAAACAAAACGACAAGAAAAATTTAAAAACAACACGAAAGCTGTAATCGTGGTGTTATTAATAATGTCGACGTTAACAGCTGTTAACTGTTAGTTAACAGTTCGTGTACTTTAATGCGAATTACGTCTATTCGATTGCTTTGGGTAAACAAAATCTTTCTTCTATAGCCCACCCACACCTATTATCCAGCAAAAGCGAGAGCAAAACAAAAACAATGAAAGCCGATCATAAACTAATGGTTTTTCTATTTATTATTTCAATATTAAATTTTGCTGCTCAATATGCCGGTTTGTATATATATATATATGTGTAGTACGTAAATATACATTTTCTTCTATAGAGCGACTTTTACTTTCTTTTAATGTTTTCTTTCTTAAGCAATCTTGTCGTTGTGTCTGTGCATGTGTTTAGATTATTACAAAAGAAAAATATATATATATATATATATATGACTTTGCTTACAATGCTGACCACTAACTACCTACCTTCCTTTAGTATGCTATCATTATTTGTTTTGATTTCATTTTTACTTAGCCCTTGATTGACACGTTCGTGTAGTGCCTTTTTAATGTTTAAATATTTTAAAAAAAAGTTTATCTCTAAAGTCTTTTTCGTCTTTTTAAATATTTTACAACAAAAGTTATTGTTAACAATAATTGAAAGCAGCTTTCTTAGCTCAAGTTATTGGCAGCTTCTCTTTTGCATATATATTTATATATATGAGTGTGTGTGTATGTGCGTGTGTTTGTGTGTAATTAATGCATACATATATATTTGTATTTATAGTTTATACATATGTATATATATATGTGTGTGCAACTAATGTATGTTTACATATATTTCGCTTACCACGACTCTCAAGCTCACTTTCCTTTTTTCAATACGAACAACCACTTAGGGCATATGTCGCCTTAATGTTTCAAGGTTTCGAACAAAGGACAAGAAGGCAGAGACCTAGGGAGTGGCCACAATCTGACAGATCGATGTTTCGTCGTTACGCCTTTGTCGTCCTAGCGCTCACTATACCTACGAGCACACATCAATCGCAATTAAAGTATCGCGCTTCCCAGCTGCCCGCCTATTCAGGAGAATGATAATTGTAAACTTTCTTTTGTGTGTGCACCCCATGTCGTTCCCTATTTATACATATATCAAATTTATGGGGAATTTAGTTTAGCGTAGTTTAGTTTATTAATTTATAATAATGGTTATTAATGTTTATTAATGACATAATACTGGCCATCGCTGTAGCTAAGAATGATACGCTACTAAGACTATACGGCACAGTTTGCAACAGTAATATATAGACACGATAGCGATACAGCTAGGTATGGAAGCAGAGACATAGATGTAATTATAGATTATAGAAGACTTTCATAGCCACTTTAAACCTACTCGGGCTAACAAGTATTGTGATATTGAGTGGTAGCATGTTCCATAGCGCAATATTCTTAACTAAGAAAAGTCTTGATTATGTTAAATACTTAAAGTCAGACAGTTTGTAAGTAATTTAAAGTAATATTTTCGCATTTCGTTTTCATATCTTGGTTCAATCCATTTTTTCAAAAATTGCTCCAAGCTCAGCTCATTCAATTGGTAAAGTTCCAACAAGATGACTCTTGACGAATGCTTCTAAATTAACTCAGTAATCTAAGTAAACTACCCGGAGGTTTATAGCACATGTTTAGTTTAAGCGGACAATAGTGACCGATATAATATGTGGAAGCCTACGATTCTCACCAGCCACTACAGCCAACTTAACATGAACCATTGGCTTGAAAGTTGCCAGGATTTTTCTTCTTCTTCTCACTGGCGTAACTCCATTTGACGCAACTCGATTCATTTCTCGGCCAACGTAGTGTTGCTTTATTGAAACCCTATGTCAAACAAATGTCTTTCCTTCCGTTATAAGTGATCGTGCAATGGAAACGCTGGTCTAAATGAAAATGCACATTGTCTCTTGGGATTTTAATGCTTTCTTTTTTTACGGCCGTAACCAACGATTTAAAAGAGTTATTATATTCCCATTTAGTTGCTGATGAAAATAGAGCTGGAGTTGAATGATCTCGAACAGTTGAAGTGGGTCAAGGTTTATGTTTTAATATTTATACAAAAAATTCCATATGACATTTTCTTTTGTACTTTTAATGTAAAATAACAAAAGTTGAAAAATTTCTATTTTCTATTAACTTTTAAGGAAAGTTTTAAACAAAAATTGAACCCCTACTAAATCAATCATGGATAAATCATTAATTATTGCTTGAGAAACAACAAAATGTTATGCTCTATTGATAGCATAACCAAACGATATAGATAAGTATAATAAAAGCAAAAAATACATGAATATGAAAAGATGAAAAAACCAAAAAAAAAAAAAGAGCAAGAGTGTACTTTCTGTGAAGAGGAGAAGAACAAATCAGGTCACTATTGCAACTTACTGTCATATTATTTTCGCTTTCAATTTTGGCTATGGACAACTTTTTAATCTCAATAATTACATCGTTGTTATCGTTATACAATATAAGAAATGCTAACCGCGCAGTAACATGATCGAGCCATTTGGCTGATCTTTTATCGTAAAGCTTAGTTTGCTTTACGTAAGACAGTGGAAGTAGATAATTAACAATTTTCCACTAACTGCCACTACTAACCACCATTTATTATTATGCTACCATTACGAGCTTAATCGCCACAGTTGCATGTTAATGTTTTTCTCAGATAACACCTAAAGTAAAATTAAAAATTTTTCAAAAATCAAAACTAAAATTAGTAGAAACTCTAAAGTGCAATATATTTAAATATCGAATACCCCGAATTCGTATAACCCGCTCCGATTGAAATCACTCGATTTCCTTTGGGTACCAATTACTTTGTCCATATAAAAGGTGCATCGGGTTTTGAATACCGAGTGTCTTGGGTATATCCAACAAACGCCGGTTGAAAGTCGCCCAATTTTCATTTGAAGTCGATTTTCAATATCCATTACCCCGGACATATAAATGTATCGCTTCGGTTTGAAATCAGTCGATATTCCTTTCAAGCGGATTTTGGATTTTAGTGGCAGTTAAATAGGACCTTGAAGACGGATTATGCTGAGTACATATAAATCGCTCCGGTTGAAAGTCGCCCACTATCTCGAACACATACAAGCCGTCCCGATTGAAAATTGACCAATTTTCAATAGAAGCGGATTTTGGATACCTTGAACATATATAACCCGGTCCGCCGGATTTTCAATGGAAGGCTATTTTTTATACCGACTCTTTTGACCAACACGCTCCGATTGAAAATCGCTCAACTTTTATTTAAGACAGACTTTGGATCACTTCGGACACACATAAGTCGCTTTGATTGAAAATCCCTCAATTTTTGATTGAACAAATATCTATTACCTCGGACATACACAAGCCGCTCCGATTGAAAATCAACCAATTTTCGATGTTAGGTGTTGTAGTACTTAGTAGTATTTCTACTCTCTCTATAATATAGACAAGTATAACAATTTTGATACTCGTAAACGCTCAACTAACTGTATTATTATAGAATCAAGTGGATTAACAAATTTTAGCAATGGAATGGCGAAGCTAGTGTAGTATAAACTCCTTATTCGGATGTAGGCATAAAATGCCGGAATAAAAATTAAGTTTTGCTAAAACACAAAACAACAAACATAACATCAATGCCATCAGTAACTACCAAAATAATGTACTGTGAACGTGATTCCTTTAAAACAACAACAACAACAACAACAACAATGAAAAACACTAACCGGTAATGTAAGTAAGTTTAGTGTTTTGTCTGTTACATGTTAACGTAAAATATGGAAGTTATTTGTTTGTATGTTCATTGCAACTTCAAATGTACTATCGGTTTCATAATAGACCAACCACGAGAAAAACAAAACAGAAAATATGTTAGCAGACGTCTTTTGTTTTATTTGTGTCTGTTGTTTTTAATTTTTTTTTTTTTTTTTTTGCTTGTGTTCAATGGGTCTTCTGCGTTACGTCAGTCACTAGTTATGGCTTAATGTAAACATATAGGTACAAAGCCTCACGAAGCCATTTACACATATATATATATATATATATATATGTGATGCATGCATACACAATTATTTGCTTTTGTTATTTATTTTTTTATTCATTTGATTTCGATCGGTTCACCGTTTCAAATATTAATTAATAACAATAAATATTTGTTAATAATTTTATTTTTTTGGGTGTAATTATCTTGGTATATCTTCTAGATATGTTGTCATAGTTGTAGCTACTTTTGCGTTTTATAGAAATCTTAAAAAGACTTGAACTCAACGAGTGCGAGCTGCCAGGTGTGCAAATCGTAGAATTCAAAGCAATAACCTTGAACCGAGGGGTTTATTCATTTTTCTCTTCACTAACGCCGCCGTCTCTTATATCTTTTTACTTTTTTCATTTTCTGCGATCACATGCGTGTAAATACTGCGCTTGAATCAAAGCGTACCCTGAATTAATTAATTGAACAGCTTTCGATTAATTAAATATGTTTTCTGAGATAAACAGTGTTAGTAAGTAAAGCCTTAAATGTTCTCTACGCCTAATTTTCAAAACAATGCCGAAACTAAACTTGACTTATGAGCTAAGGCTGTCATCTTAACTTGAGCGCAAAACCTTGTAAGCCAATTGAATTATCGATAGACACACAAAAAAAAAAAAAAACTGGCGGTTGCTTAAATAACACACTACTCAATTAGGTCATAGGATGACATAGAGACATCGCCGTTATTAACTAGTCCTTATGATTGTTTCTTTCAATACTTAAATAAGCGCTTAACAACTTCCCCGAATATTATTACCCTACTATCTTTCCTCCCATCATAAAACAAAAAATACCAGATATTCAAGGATATGCACCCATTTTCTATTATATCCGTCCGCTCTGATCTGTCTGTCTGCCCGCGCAAATTTGCGCCAAGCAAAAGATCGCAATTTTTGAAATATTTTGATGAGACTTTGGTCCAAAGATGAACGCTATTGAAAACGGTTTGGATCGGGACGGAAATATTGCAATTTTCAAAATTTCTCATCAAAAGTGACTAGATATTAGTATTTTGGCATCCTAAATTGGTATGAAATTTTTGGACCGGCCGAGGCAATTTTTTGGACCCTCTTTCATCTAACTATTCCTATGGAATTTAAAGCTTTATATCGTAAAAAGGTCTAATTTCCAATATTTCATAGTAAAAATCGACAAAGAAATCTACCTTACCGACCACATGTGTCCAATTTTTGAATTGCATCTTATAAGGACG